CTTCTCAAGTGTCAGCCCTCCTGAAACTCACTTGCAAAAATCAGACTGCAGGACTGGGGCTTTAGTTTGAAAGCAGCCTAGCAGATATAATTAAATATCTGTGATGCAAATGGGTGGTTACTTTGGATCTCTCTTAAATGGCAAATTCCTCGGATTAGGGACCTGGTCTCCAGGCCAGAAGGATTAACAGCTTTCCATTAAATATATATATATATATATATATATATATATATATATATATATATATATATGTATATGGTAAGAGGTCTAAAACTGGGAATAGCACTTTAGGTTAAAAATTCCTCTGCCTCAGCAAAAACTATACAATTTCTAGAGTTTTATCTGAGCAAGGAATTAGCTCTAAATATCTACATGTTCTTCATTTCATTATAAATGTCTTCAAAATTCTTTACATTATTTAATAGGTTATGAACACTAAAAAGACAGAGAACTAGTAGAACCAGATTATTTTGTCTTCTGTAGTATCGTGAAAAAGTACAGGAGTCATAAAGCAGGATGGCAAAAAGACATTTTCTACTCTTAAAATTAATAGCAGCTGGCTTTTCTGGAGGCAGTCCCTGTGGATCCTCAATTCCTATCTTTCCTGACAATTTTTAAAAAGCTGGATTAAAGGGTGAAGTTTCTCAGAGTATGAACACAGCCAGATTGTTAAGAGACACCTTTACCCCATTTACAACCTGTGCATCCATCTCATTTGTTGGCACAATTTGTCAGAAGAATTTACAATGATGTAGAAAAGCCTTACTGTTTTGGCGTAGGCTGCTTCCCTTCCTCGCTTCCTTCCCTTGTTTCTGTGGCGACATCACCTCGTGTGTACATGGGGAAAGTCACGTTCTCACATTATTTGCTGTACTTTCAGCCAGTACCTGAACACACTTCACTCACTGGCTGGAAACGTGGAGGAGACACTCAGCATCAGATCAACAGCCAGATGTCCACAGGCCATGATGTCTCTACCATTGAAACCATGCCTTCAAACACCAGCAAAGCTGGAGAGAGGCACCACAGCCAGCACCAGCCATCCTACAGCAGGTTCTCTTAATTCCACAGATGTAAGGCCAGGGAGCTACTTGGATACAGTTCTTTCAGTATTATAGACAAGATGTTTTACCTCCAGAAGAGTGATTCACAGTGTAGGTAATACTGATTGCCACTCGCATCAGCCATTTCCTGGCAGGCAACAACCTACTTGGAGAGTCAAGGGCCAAGGGCAAATCTAGCCAGTCCCCAACTGTTAGGAAATGTCCATCCCAGGCATCAATGTCACTGCAAATCAAGACAAATTATTAGATGAAAAAAACCCAACATAATTGCTGTTTCGTCCCATTTCTTTCCCTTGATGTTTCTCTAAGTAATTTCCTAGCTATTAAAGATTAACCTAGTAATCACTGACAAAACAAAGCACAGTCCGCATATTGTAACACAGATTAAATGTTCAGCCTGCCATGCAGTTACTACCATTCTCTTGGATAACAGCACTTTTCAGTATCAAGGCTTTAGTGTGCCATCTGGTGGATTTTCAGCATTTGGTACATTTTGTTTATGTACAAACCAGTGATATACAGACAGGAGTATCCACCTTCTTTGGCCAATAGCAGTATTCATTTTATTATCCTGTATTTGATCAAATTAGATTTTTGCCTGAGAGTAATAACTCAATTCTTCTCACATTTCCAGTGAAATTAATTTTTACTATTGTAACTGTTGTAACTTTAGCTAATCCCTTACACTGATCAATTTTATACGTAATTGAATGGTAGCCCTCTCAAAGAAACTTCCACAGAATGAGCCTAACACAATTCCATATTTAGGGCCACAAGTCAAGACCCTCAATGACATTTAGATGTTTAATTCTCACTGACCGAACATTCCAGGATTAGTATCTATTTGGGATGAGGGTCAAAGATATTGAAGCAAACCTATTACCATACAACTTCAAATCAAACTGAGAGTTTGAGTACTGATTATTCATTCCAACTACCACAGCAACAACTGTCATTAAAAATACTGTAGGCTTTTATGATGCCACATGAAAACTGTGAAACCAGCTAAAATATTTGGAAAAAAAAAAAAAAAAACAAAAAACCAAAACTATTTCTGAGCATTAGTTTTATACTGTATCCACCCTCTCTTTGTAACTGTGAGGCATTTCTTCATTTCTCTCTTTTATAGAGCACAAGTTGTGTGATGAGGAACCCGGGATGGATTAAATTTCAAAACACACCAAGCCCTTTGAGCACATGGCGCTCAGAGTGTATCTTCTACTCCAGCACAGTGCCACAGGCACTCTTCTACTCTGCACGAGATGCAGTATATTCCATCACAGATAAGACTTCCAGGATTTTAATGCTAGATGGAGGCTGCCCTCTGAATGAATGAGCTAAAGCTGCCACAAAAGAGCATGAATGGGCAGCTGGATGCGGCTTCTACCCAACATATGATGTCAATTCAAAAACCTGGATTGAAGATGTCACTGACTGCATGGGAATAAAAGAAAAGGCCACCTGAGAGGTGCTGGATATGTGGCTATTAATGGATCTTCTTACTGGAGTTTGGCCTTTTTTCCATAAAGAGAAAACAAGACAAACAGATAAAACAGAAAGGAAAAGAACAGCAGTGATTGAAAATGCAGCTTTTGTTTTTGGTCCCGATTGTTACTGGCAACCTGAACCCTAGAGAAAAACAGGCTCAGCATAGTTCTATCAGCCATTGTGAGACTTGGCAAATGTACGAACACTGTGCTGTTTTAAACATTGATTTTAGTTGAATTTTTGGACACCGGCTCACTGCAGTGCTGCTTAAAGGTAGAGCTGAGACAGCCTGTTTTTAAACTGAAAGCTAATGTCATGAAGTGAAAAGAATACATACAACTAGGGAAGAAAAAGAAGACAAGAAACGAACGTGGGGATAGCGGGATTTAAGTGTTATGGTCCAGATGGTTTTCAGGACTGAACTGTGACTGCGTGAGGGGGCAGGAGCACTGAGATTGATTCATCTCTTTGGTTAGGACGTCCTACAAACCTGAGGTCATACTGTGGGTGTGTAGTCTCTAGGAGACTGCAAGACAACACTGCTTTTGGTCCAGATGTGCTATGTTGCATCAGCAAGCAGTGTGACCTGACAGGTGTGGATTCACAAACAGCTGGTGCTGGGAGCAGGTATCTATACCAAAAGTTTCAAGCAGGTTATTTTGATTTAGCTCTGGCCTGACCCCATAGACTTAATGACCATTAGGGTTTAGAGTTCAGCCTCCAGATCACTTTAGCCTGAAAGGAAATCTGGAAGTCCCAAGAGCACTTTTCAATGAAAACCAAAGCACAGTAGCAGGGATAAATGGAGATTCAATTAGAAAGTGCAGACCTAACCTCTGCAGGGATTTTCTAGGAACATAAGCCCATGGGGATAACCCTGGATTGCTGCAGGAGCAGAGAGAGGGAGCCCTTCTGGCACCGTCTTGTCCAACCTGCCTACAGGGAAAAAGACAAAAGTTCACATTCTTGTTCATGTTGCCTTTCCATCTTATTTTGAGTTTTTGTTTAAGAAGCAGAGTTAGGTTTTTATTATACTGCATAAAGTTGAGTGTAGCCCTGAGTGTATTATATGTTCTCACTGCAAACTAAATCCACTCATAAATAAGTTATAAAACATATATTTCATTTAGGAATAGAAGTGCATGCACTTATTGTGTAAGGTCTTTAACTGAGATTGAAAGCACATTGCAAGGTTTAAATATAATCTGAATAGATTAAATAAAAAATACAAATATTTCTTCCAGAAAACTGAGTACATACAACATACAAATAATTTCAAAAGACATTAAATACCTTGGAGGATTAAAGCCACAAGAGAATACAGATCACAGCAGTTCAAGACATTTTCTTGCAATTTTGCAAGTTCAGTATGACATCTGAAAGCCATTTTTTATGTCAGTTCTTTCACACTAATTCAACTTTACTTGCAGTAAAGTACTGCAGATTATACCATTTGTTTTACCTGTGACACTAACAATGTCCTGTCTTCACAGTATAGTCAATCAAATAAAACCTTCTGGTGATGTAGTATTTGAGTAGTTTCAAAAGCTTTTGCATCACTTAACATTTTACAGGGAGTTCAAGCATTTCTGATATCTGACGTAAAGCTTGTTTTTAGACAACAACAGTGTTTCGGAGGCCTCCGCAGCGTACAGGTAATTCTAACACCTTTAATGAAATTGATAGATCAAAAATCTGTAACTCCCCATGTGGATTCAATCAGTGTGAAAGTATACATTTACTAAAACAGGCTAAGCTGACATAAATTAGATTTAAATCAAATAAGGAATACCTTTTCCAGGTTTTGCACTAGTTAAATCAATATAAAATAAAATCTTAAGGGAATACTGTGCAGCTTTGTGCTCATATAAGGTCAGACTGACCTCTGAACAATGTTCCATCAGTTATAGCAGGCAACAAAGTTTTTTTTTTTTTTGCTATTACTGTGGCTCACTCTGTAGGACACTGCAGTGTGCAGCACACCAGCATCCCTTTTGGTGACCTTTATGAGTTTTCTCTTTCTTGTATCTTCTAGTATGCAGTTAATAAAAATGTTACAAAATTTCTCATCATACACACAAATTAGATCCAGGCCTCAGCAACAGGGAGCAAACTCTGTATTCTTAAAATTGCCGTGTACGAAGGACACCATTTCAGGTAATCTGACATCGTGTCTTTCGTCTGAATTACCGACTGTTCGATTTAAATTTACGCTCACAGCGGCACACAGCCTGCCGTCTGAGCAGCCGAGCGTCCGGTGGCTGATGGGACAAGGGGACACGTGGGGAGTGGAAGTGTCACGTGATGTAAAATCGGTTCGAAAGAGAGGATAACGTGACGCCGTCGACGTCGGCACAACCTGCAAGCGGGGACCGCCCCGCCCCCCGCCGCGCGCACTCGGAAGTGCGTCACTCCCCGGGGCGGGGCGGGGCGTGCCGTGACGCCATCGCGGCGCGCCGTGGCGTGGGCGGCTGCTGCTGCCGCCGCCGCCGGCCCGCAGCATGGCCATGGCGGGGCCGCCGCCGCCCGCCGCCGCTGTCCCCGTCCCCTCCGTGGTCCCTTCCGTGCCCTCCTTCGCCGTGGCCCGCGGCCTGGTGGGGCGCCGCTCCTCGTGCCTGGTGGTGGCGCCGCACCGCCGGCACGTCGCGCTGGCGCCGCGCTACCTGGGCCGCAAGCGCACCGGCATCCGCGCCCAGCTGGACGCCGAGCTCCTGCGCTACTCCGAAAGGTGCGGCCGGGGGAGGGGGCTCGGCCCCTCCCGGGCCCCTCCCGGGCGGGGGCAGCGCCCGGTGGCGGCGGGCCGCGGCCTCGCAGCTGACCGTGCCCCCCCCCCCCCACCTCTCTCCTTCCAGCCTGCAGGGTGTGCCGGTGGCGTACGACAACCTCAGGGTGGTGGGGGAGCTCGGGGACATTTACGACGACCAGGGATTCATCCACCTGGACATCGAGGCCGACTTCGTCATCTTCAGCCCCAGGAGGGGGAAGAAGCTGGTGGTTTGTAAATGCGTTCACATCCCACGGAGGGGGGGGGGTTGTGTTGCGTAGTCAAGGCCTGGCTTAACTCCATCGTCAGCCGAGGTCTGGGACTCATGTCAAGTTATATTTCAGTTTATATTAGTTTATTCGTGTACGAGTAGTTTATTAGCAGTTTGTAGTAGTAGCTTTTTCTTTTCATCTATCTGTACTGTCTGTCCTTGTACTTGTTAAGTTTATATAGAATATGAACATACTGTATTACAGGAATTACCTATTACTAAGTACTGTATCATTTATATCAGTGCTTCTTTCTGAAGAACAGATAATTCTCAAACAAGTGTGTTTGTTCTTATTTAATAGTGGCAGGAATGTTTAGGTCAATCCTTTATTTCCTTCAAGTACAAGAGCAGTACATCAGGTTGAAGCCTGCCTTTCACTAGAAAGAAATGCATGGCTCAGAACAGCCTTAAGCTTGTTAATACCCTTGCATCAGTACTTGTGGGAGAAATAAGTAGAGAGTTGCCTTACATTCATTGTTTACCATACCTTCTGCAGCATATGATAAGAAATGAATGTGTTCTCTTGCTAGGAAGAGAATGGAAAAACTGTTGGTGTCTTTCATTCCTTCTTTGGGGGAAACAAAGGTGAATAACTTGACATGTAGATGTACCAGAAACCCACTGAATGGCGTATTTTTTGTGTCATCTCTGTCTTTATCTGCTAAGTAGTGCTGTGCCAGCCTGAAGGCTGTTTTAGTCAAGTAAATGAGGCTTAAAATGGCTTTAAAGTTGATGGCTGTAGTATGAGAAAATAGTTACTCATCTGTTCAGGTGCTCACTCTGGCTAAATCCCATGTTTTGACTTTCTCTTGCAGATACAGGTTCAGTTCTGAAGAATATGTGGGAATAGCTTTGATTTTAGTGAAGAAGAGTTAGCTCGTTTACTAGATACGCTGACTTCATAACTTGTGCATAAACTGTTTTTGAAATGTGTCCATATAGGAAACTAAATAAATACCATGTGCATTTAAAGGGATGATCTTTACTCTAACTTCATATGACATTCTTTTTCTTTTTTAGGGTGTAATTAATAAAGTGGCCCCTAGTCACATTGGCTGCCTGATACATGGATGCTTCAATGCTTCTATCCCTAAACCTGAACAAATGTCAGTTATACAGTGGCAAGAGCTGGGGTTGAAAATAGGGGATAAACTGAAATTTCGAGTATTGCACTTGGATTCTGATGCAGCTGGGCTATTCTTCATTCGAGGAGGACTCACTAAAAGCAGGTATTGTGCCTTACTGGAGAATATTTTTAACTGTTTGAATGGGTTTGTTACAAGCTAAATGGTTTGACTCTAACATCGTACTCTTTAAGCTTTCTTATTTTGACACAAATCCATGTTTAGTCTGTGCTAGTTACTTTCAACTAAACTTTCTAGTGACAAGGACTCACATGGAAGTTTTCTCTGGAAAAATAAAAGTAGATTTTTTTTCTGAGCTTTAAAAGGCTGAGTGTACTGACCAATTAACTGTTGATTGTACTAATAATACATGTTCATAATAGCAGCCCCAAAATATCTAGAGTAGCTGTGTTAATGAATGTGCATGGGCTTTTCAAGTGAACAAGTGTCCAGTTCCTGAACACAATGTATGCATTGGTGTTTACGCACGCAGACATATTACATAAGCACAAATAGTTACGTGTGGATGACTTAAATGTTTGCTGAAACATAACAATATCAAAGATGATACAAAAAAATGCATCACTTTCCTCCTTTCACTTAAGCCTCTGAATTTTTAAAGCAGCCTGCTAAAATCTCAGTAGTGATATCTTTAAAAGAGTTCATTCAGATTTTTAATTTTTTTTTAGATGGTCATTTGCTGAGCATATTTTTTCTACCAACATGGTTATGTTTTTAATTAAATATACAACATGACTACTACTGACAAAATCATGACTTTTTTGTTTGGTTTTTCCTTTTTGATCTGAAAGGATGCTCTGGATTGTTTCCGTGAATTTACAATGAAACTTAGTGATTTTTGTCCTCAGTGTCTCTGGGGACTTCTTCTCCTCCTTGGTTTTTAAATGCATTTTTTCTATATTTGTCTTCCTAGACATTTTCTCCAGTGCTCTCGGTTGCAAGGTACCTGTTGGGGTTTTTTTGTTCTGTTTTATTTTTTTGACTTTTCGGGCATCACCGTTGTTTTAACAGTACAGACCTCAGCAAGGCAATTGCTCAGAAAAAAACAGCAGTGTGTCTCGTGTGATTGAACAGGCCATTATCTGTGTGTGGTTGTGAATAAAGTAAAAAAAAAAAAAGCTTTGCTACACAGTGTGTAATTATAAATTAGCAGATGAAGGAGTACAAGAGAAGAAGGAATATCAAAATGGTCCGTACAGCATTTTAGAGAAGAAATTTAAGCTAAGATTTGAAAGAGAAATTTGATTCTGTGGTAAGAAGGAAGCTAGTTGGGTAACACAAACTACCCTGAAAGTATTAAAGTAGCTTTATGATCTTCCTGTAACTGTAGTATTATGTTCTCCATTTGTTGTTTTTGTCAAATGCTTATCTTTTATCTACTTGGTGTAAATACTGTGTTTCAGCAAATTTTGGCATTTCACTGAGGGGTGCACTTAAATGTCTACTTCAGCTTATTTTGTACATTTCTTTACAGCATGCGGCCCAAACAATCTGAGACTGTAACTGACAGTACAAATGAAGATGACGTTCAAAAGCTTGACCACCAAGAAAATGGCTTGAATGACTCTGGGGGAGATACTATTGCAGAGGAGCCTCTAGGTGAGACAGGTAACACTGGGAGGGAAAATACAGAAGAGCAAAGTGTTGATGCTGCGAATGGATTATGTGATGATAAAAACAAGAAGAAGAAAAAGAAAAAGCATAAGCAGGAGGAACAGGAACATGTATTGCCTACCAGTGACTCCAGTGGTTACCAAAGTGACCATAAAAAGTCAAAGAAAAGGAAAAGAAAGCATTGTGATGAAGTTGAAGACAGTGAATTATCTCAGCTGTCACAGGAACCCAAAGCCAAAAAGAAAAGGGACTAAAGTCTGAAGTGCCTTTCCTGAATAAGATTTCAGACATTTTTGATGACCTTTGAATAAAATCCTATTTTAAAAATGCATATGTATATTATTTTACTACACAATCTGCTCTGCTAGGTGGAATGAAGTTTGTGTGCATATGTGCACCAACAGCTTTAAAGGCAGGAGCTTTTAAAGAAGTGATAGAAAAAATAGGGTAAAGCAATATCTGCTTGTTTTATTTACTGGAAAATAAAGTACAGAAGAACAGTGAACCATGACTTCAGGAACACATAAATCACCTTTATTTCTGCTTTCTCATTCCACACATTGACCAGTAGCTAGTTATGATCTCATTCTATTTTTGCCATTCAGTGTCTTGATTTTGTGAGAGTGGATTAAGTTTACCCTTGGGGTTCTGGGGAATGCACTTGAATTCCCAGGGGCTGAGAAGAGTTGTTTGGTTTTTTTTTTCAGTTGATTCAGAGCAAGCAGGGAAGACAGAAGATTAATGTATTCTCATGTATTGAAGTACCACTTAAGGGTTAGAATACTGTGGTGATACAGGCTGATAAAGCAGATAATCAGACATACTTTGATAATCAAAGTTCATTTTCATGCATCAAGCTCATTGACTTAATGGTTTTCTTTTTAAAAAAAAAAAAATTACGTGCAACTCCCAATTTCTTGTACTAGTTGTAACTTTCAAACACTGCTGTCTGCTGTCTAGAGTAGCAGGTACCTACTGTCAGTATTGGAATTAATGTTACTGGAAAGTTTGAACAATGGGAAAATGACAGTCAAACTAACAAATGTGCCTTTATTAAGAACTAATTTTCGTCGTGTACATGTATGATAATTTTTTTAATATCAATACTTTTGGTTGCAATTCTAGAGTGAGGAGTTCTAGGGAGAACTAGTGTGACATGGTCTAGACTACGTCTTTAACAGAAGTAGGAGGCAATGATTACTTTGGTATTGATTTACATATTACAAGAAGATGACCAGCTCTTTGGAAACCTTGTAAGTAAAGAGCATGCATGTGGAAACTTGCAGTTCATCTGTCTGTTCTTAAGTGACAAAGCATTTTGCTCTGGTGATTATGCTGATGATGTTGGCTCACTAGATTTATCTACAGTGCCTAATAATGTATCCATTCACATTGAACATGTTGTGAGTTTAAAGTGTGACAGTACTTCTTTTAGGGCTCACTTTGTGCTATATTAATGTCTTTTACATATCTTTAAAGCTTTGAACTTACCAAGACAAATCAAAGTTTCAGCCTTCCAGACATGATGGCATAGCAGTATATGGCATTTAAAAGTTATAACACCACCATATAGAACCAAGTTAAGAGGTTTTTTAAGACCTATTAGGTGTGCTTAAATAGCTGTTTAAGGGCAGCAGAAACTTCAGTATATCTTCTTTTGCTTGCTCTTCAGTGTACTTGATCTTGAAACCAGTTTCTAGACAGTCCTGAGATGAACATGGATTGTCCCTTTTGTGTTTCTTGTGTTGGTTTTGACTGGTATGGAGTTAATTTTCTTCACAGTAGGTACTATGGGGCTGTGCTTTGGATTTGTGCTGGAAGCAGCGTTGGCAACCCAGGGATGTTTTAGCTGTGGCTGAGCAGTGCTCACACCAAGTCAGGGCCTCTTCTGCTCCTCACCCCACCCCACCCGCGAGGAGGCTGGGGGGGCACAAGGAGTTGGGAGGGGACACAGCCGGGACAGCTGACCCCGAGTGACCCCAGGGATACCCCACACCAGGTGTCGTCCTGCTCAGCATATAAAGCTGGGGAAGAGGAAGGGAGGGGGGCACGTTCGGAGCGATGGCGTTTGTCTCCCCAAGTCACCGTTACGTGTGGTGGAGCCCGGCTGCCCTGGGGAGGGCTGAGCCCCCGCCTGCCCGGGGGCAGTGGGGAATGAATCCCTTGGATTGCTTTGCTTGTGTGCCTGGCTTTGGCTTGACCTGTTAAACTGTCTTTATCTCAACCCATGGGTTTTTTCACTTCCAACCTGATTCTCTTCCCCCACCCCACCTGGGGGGAGTGAGCAAAGTGGCTGTGTGGGGCTTAGATGCTGGCTGGGGTTAAACCGTGACATTCTACAGGTAACAATGCTGAAACTTGAAGTTTGTGTAATTTTGTAGGCACCATCTCGTCTGTCCATTCTTCCTGTACTGTGACAAAACCTGAGAAGTCAAATAGTGTTTGTGATGTGTTTGTTACAGCACACTATAAACGGTGGGCAGTATTCTGGTGTGTTAAGTGTTACAAAGAGTAACACAGAAAGTCCCACCCTAACAGGCTTAAAATTTCAATACACAGGACAGGCTGAAGGTTGTGACAATTTAGTTGGAAATTATTTGTTAGCTCCACCACCACCCCCTTTTTTTTTTTTTAATGGATTGATGTAGAGGAAAAAAGTTAAATGGGTAGGTATGGTGGATATATCAGAGAGGAGGATAGCAAGTTCAGATATTTTTCATTGTTGCCTATGGGAAGAGAAGGATGGAGGCTGTAGCTATTGCAGATGAACCAAAGACTGAGTCGTATGACTTAATCTGTTAGTCCTTAATAATCATTACAGCTCACTTTCCCTTTTAGGGAAGGGAAACACAGCTCTAGCAGACCCACTGTTGGTGACTGTGGTGTGAGCCAAGCCCCACCAGGTCATAGAACCAGCTTGTAGCACCAAGAGTTTGTCTTGCTGTGTTCCAGCTTTTCATCAGCATGGAGAAAGGGAGATGTTCAGGGGGGAAGAACTGAAGTTGCAGCTAATGAATCAAGTAACACAGTATAAATGCTTTCAGCACTTTGCTGATTTTCCACTTTGCTTCTTTGCCATTCTCTTACTGAAAGAGAATTGGCTACTGTAATTTAACAAACTATGCAAACTGGCTTTTTGAGGGTATTAAGCAACTTTTTAGAAAGCCTAATGTAATCTGTCTCAGTTTTGGCACTTATTTAAAGGCAGGGTATTTTTGGCACACAAGTGTGGCCGGCACCCTCTCATATCAAGTTTTGATTTTCTTTCTTGGCTTACAACAGAAGAGAGCATTAAAAAAACAAGTTAAATGCAGGAGCTGACAATTCATGATTGCTGAACAAGTTGCTCCAATGTTGCAAATACTATCACATTACATTAAATTCTTGCTAGGTTAATATGCAAAGAGCAACTGTGCTACAAAATAAAATGGTATATTCCTTTGCTTGACCATTGTACAAAGCAGTTGGCTGTTTTCTGCTGTTTTGTGTCTTCGGAAGGGAAAAAAATGGAGAAAAGACTTAAAAAAAAAAAAAGTGCTTTTCATAGTTGGAGTGAGTATTGGCAGCCTCACAGCTGCACTGTTGATGTTGCTGTAGACACTGTTTCAGCAATAGCTAAATATGGCAAGAAAACTTGGATTTTCAGAAGTGAATTGTCACTCTATTCATGACTTTAAATCACTTCTCTTTTTTTCTTTCCTCTTAAAAAATAAGAGTTTTTGATGCTTGAAATTAACAAAGAAGCTGAAATAGACACTTTCCATATAAGTTTCCATGAAGTTCAATCATCAAAAATGTTTAGATTTCTGTGTTCCCCTGAACTACAAATGAAAAGTTGTACTGAATTTTGAGTTGAGCTGAGATTTTTTGAGTATAGAGAACAAAGCCTCCAGTGAGGCCAGGTGACTGCATATTTGCACAGCCCTTCTGTTCCTTTTTTCAGAGTGCATTCTAGTTCAACTCACTTCTGTCACATAGCAAAGAAGGTTAGAAAGTAAAACTGTATTTTGTCCTATAGCTATATTGATAGTTATGCCAAGGGAGCTATCAGGTGATCTAGAGAAAACATATGCTGGGTTTTTTCCTGTTTTAACGTTAAGTTGGCAACAAAGCTAATATTCGCTTCTCTCTGTGGCTGATAATCTTTTGTCTGTATTATGAAAAATGTATGCTCCAATTTAACCAGCTATAATAAGTTTCTAAAACAGGGACTGCTTCTTAGTAGTATTATAAATATTTTGATTCTGCAAACATGTTTCTCAGTGTACTGCATGCCTTTGGCAGAAGAGCAAGCACTCCTAGAAAACAGTATTTTTAGCTCTCATTAGAAACACTTGTTTTGTACTCTCTGAAGCTTGCAGTGGTCTGCAGTGTTAACTTTTGCTCTCTGTCTTTTCCTCGTTTCTCTTAGAAATTAATTCTTTGCTTTTGACTTGGCAGTTTTCTGCTGATTAAAATATGCAGCCCAAACAGTGGATGAGCTCTATGGAAAGGATTTTTTTAAAGGCCCTAAGTAAGCTAGCTGCCTTTTGGAAAAACCTGAGCCTTGATCAAATCTGCCTCTGAATACGCAGTTTGCCTCTGGAAGCATCCCAACCTTTCATAGCCCTCAGACAGTACAGCCCTTTGCTGCAAAAAGCATGGGGGTAGTTACATACCCAAACTGTTGGAGTTGTATTATTTTCCATATACCTGTGAAGAGATTATGTGATCTGAGACTCTCAGGTTTATTAGGATTGGCTATGAAACAGCTGAAATGGTTTCATTCTAATAAGAAATGTATTTTTCTTACTAGAATGTTGATTATATTCTGCTATTTATCTTTCAGAAATTCTGTCATTTCAATAAAGCCTGTGGACTTCAGTATCCAGTGGACTTAGTCTGTTGATAGGGAGAATATACTTTGTCTTCTGGATTCATGTGAACAAAAATAAGACTCTGAAAATCAAGCTTCACACTTTTCCAACATTGTCAGTAAATAAGTCCTTTACACAGATCTTGAGTTTAACATACTTCATGACTTTACACATAACTAAATTAGGGCTGGGTTAAATTCAGCTGTAGCAAGACATTCAATTGTCATGATGTTAAGCAATTAGCAGCAAATGCATCCTGGCAATGGATTGAAACAAAAAAGGCCCAAACAATAGGCCTCAAACCAAAGTTAACTTCTGAGTGAATCTCCCGACCAGCAACCAGCATCTTATCACCATGAAATGCAATGGTGGGAACAACCCCTGAAAACTATAAGTAAACAACAGGAAGTAACTATAAATCCCAAATGTAAAGACAAACAGAAACGCCTCAGATGTGCCCAGATCCAGACACA